AGTATGCACTTGAGACTTTTTGAGCAGTGGGACATTACAGCCCTCTGGGGAATGCAGCATGCTGCCCATGGTATGTTTGGATGACTGTAGGTCAGTGTCTGGGTGACAGAATAACAGTTTAATTTCTTGCTCTTCTTCAGTGTGTTCAGAGGCCCATGAGAATGATGCAGTGGGGTCAGTCAGTGCAAATGCTGAGACAGCATCTTGCTGCTGTGCAACATCACTAAGGGCCCATTTCCTTGCAAGTTCTTTTCCATTACGAATTTACACCATGACAACATGCCTGAAAGCAAGCGTTTACAGAAAATGGGATCTAGTCAGAACTGTGCGGTCAGAGATAGGCTTGTTGTGGACAAATCATCAAAAACAGCTTTTTCCTTACATGTTACTTCAGCTTGTAGTTAATCTAATGAGTCAGGTATTCATGCGCTCTTTTGAAACCATAGCACTCTTGGTGTTTTTAGATTCCTCACGAGTTTGGTTTAGTACCTTCAGTTCCTATCATTTTCTTTTACAGTGGAGGAGGATGTAAGTCCTTTTGCATGCATATTTTAGTGCTGAGAGCTAAACTAAGCAGCATGTGAGTATTACGGTGTCCCAGTTATCTAAACTTGAGAACCTGTCCACTGTGTCCATCTACCTTCTAAGCCTATCACTGAGGAAGGCTTTCAGAAGAAGGCTGATGCACATCTTGTTTTCACCCCAATGGGGAACCAGGAGATGACGGGCATTGCTGCCTGGCCTCAAGAGCTCTGACGTGCTCCTGGGACCTCCACTTTGGACTTAGCCTCTGAGTGTGATGTTTAGGTATCTCCTAGATGAGCAGTGCATACGCAAAGGTAGTCACGGTTGTTTGAAGTTCACTGTGTCTTTCTTACACTATGTATATACTGTAAAGAGCAAAAGACAGCATCAAGCCTGAAAAACTCCTGCCAGCTAGATGCATGAGAAATAGCACTTCCTCTAGGGCACTTTGCGACCTTTGTCCCTGACTTACCATGGTCTACAAAAATGAGAATAATAATTAGGCCTATTTAATGCTAATTTATTTTCTACTGCCAAACTGATATGATGGTTTATTCCAGCATTTTGAGTTCTCTCTCACAATATCTATCGGAATTTGTAATAGGGATCTTAGACCTTCCTTATATCTTTACATGAGAGAATTGATAATAGACAGTCCTGAAATATGATGTTAATACGTTCGCTATTCTACACAACTATTTTTAATGTCACAGATTTGTGTTTTTTCAATACTTGCAACTCAGTTTTTCATATCCCTTCCATCCTCCTGCTTGAAAGCAGAGGGGAAAGTCACAGAATGTTAGAAAGCACCCATTTAATTAGCCCTTAAGTAAGGAAGGCTGCAGGAGGAGGAAATCAAGAAGTTGTCACCCTGAAATGAGAACAAAGCCAAGTGATAGCTGCATTGTAAAAACATTAAGTAAAGTCCTTGCTTATTACAGTCAATCCCAGTCCTTTCAAATGACAAACCAGTTAAAGAATTTCGAGGTAGGCTAACTGCTTTCTCTGGTATTTTAGAAAATGGAAGAAAACAGAAGGTAAAGCATATGTTGTGTTAAGAGAAATTTTGAGATTGAAAGTGTGATGCCACTTAGACACTGACAGCTGCAATGGTCATAACTCAAAATGTCTTCACAAATACTAAAACCATAGAATCAAAATTCTGCTGTGGTATGGAACAGCACTGCTCAAAAAGCATACAACGATTTGAAAGATTTCTTGGCTGTTTTACAAATTATTTTTCTTATCTGTAACTGCTGCAAATTATAAAGCTATGTTTGTACTTTCTATGTCTAGTTAACACATTTATCGTACATATAACATTTAACACTCCACAGTATTGTCCTAATGTTACCAGGAACAAAGAATGTAAGACACTTGAAAACACAAAGGAGTCCACCTGATCTAATAAGTTTGACCATTTACATTCAACTCGGTCTTGGTACATTTTTTTTCCTTACTACAGTCCACTATTGATTTCATCTCTGGAAACAGACCAACCCACGTTCTGAATTCTTCGCTTCAATAGCCCTTAGAATTTATCCATGTTTAACCCTTCCATTAAATAGTGCTGCTTAAATTCCTTTTTACTTTTTAAATGGATAGAATAACTGTTTTCTGCTCTATTTGCTAATGAAACTAAATCCTGTTTGGCCTTCACCGTTTTGTTGGGCACTAGGCTGATGGGTTTACTGCAGTATGTTTTGAGCCTCGGTACATTCATAAAAATCTTCCTGAATTTGCTGGCTACTGCATGCATCTGCTCCATTGATATTTCTAACCCGATTCTCCATACTGTTCAACAGCTTTCTGGATGATCTTTTCAATTAGAGCACAGTCTTGAGATTTTATTTTCCCAAGAAGAATTATGTAACGTTTATACTGAGTCATATTTGCCATCTGCTGGTCCAACCACATAAACAATCCAAATTCTTAAAAACCTGAGTTTTCCTTAGTATCTGCTTCTAATCTAATTTTTCACAAATGTGCCATGTTTACGCAGCTACCCCTGCCTTACGACTTAGCTCTTCACAAATACTGGCACCTCTTCAGAGGCTCCCAGCAAACTCGAAGAAATCTATTCATGCAGAGCAGGGAGAGGACACATGTGAGAAGGTATTTATCAAGCAATGCATGTGATTGCATACAAAACCAAATGCAAGGCAGAAACATAGGGAAATTATGGCTACTTTAACAGAGGACATCAAGAAGCTCCAAAATGCAGGGGTGTTCTTGGTATATGGCTAACTTCTTTGGAACTAGTTAATGCTCAAGTGGCTGGTAACAAGATACATAACTTTTTACTCCAGCTTTAAATCACTGTTTTCTGCTGTGACTAAGGACTTAAACTGTAAATCATAATTCATGGGATTATACATTTATTTATTTAAACTATAATGAAACACTTGTGATCACAGAACCGGACCTTAAAATTGCTATTTATATCAGACTCTTTCAATCAGAAAGGCCATAGTTATAGAGTCTCTCCACCTAATGATATTACGCCGGTTCTCAATTTCATGTCCTGTTGACAACATTGGAGAAGGCATCATTTCACATCCTGAAAATGCCAAACTACGTAAATTACATTTTCTACCTAAAAAATTGATACCGTTTCGTTGCTGTGGACAAGTATATTGGAACAACAGGTCTCCATGATGATAATTTTTTTCCTTTGTAAGAGAAAAATCTGACTCCAGAAAGAAATTTCTATTGATTTTTAAAAGATTAAAATTGTTTAATTAGCTCATAAAAATATGAAAACACCTGTAAAACTGTTACTGACAGGGACTAAACCCGATCATTTGTGAAATCAACGATGATCTTCCAATTGACTTGAATGTACCATAGGTCTGGAGCAATTAACACGCTCTCTGAAAACATAACATTAAAATCTTACCTGCCACAACGTTATTTTGCCATCACTGTGCTTTACATCTTGTGAGCACAGTTCATGGGAGAATGCCACTGATGTCAGTGGGGGAACGGTAAGAGGTCTTATTTGTCTGTTGAACCTATGGTTCCACCTACATAAATTACTAAACTAAAACAGGAACATGGGGCTGTTAATTTGGCTTTTCACATATGCACAGTATCAAATGGTGCATTTAACAAGGATGTGCCTATGAGTTGGCCATCACTATTTTCAGCATAGCTTGTAAGAACCTGAACGCCATAAAGAATGATTAATTTTTGTACCCGGAAAAAGTCATACTATTCAAAAGGACACACGTTTGAAACCTGTACAGAACCAGGACTACCAGAACAAGGGATAGCTGGATCCGACACCAAATATATTGCTGTACGGCTCAAGCTTTGACACATTAAAGCGGCACGATCCCGGCGTGTGACGGGTGCGAGCAGTCCCCCCCCTCCCGATCCGCCGAGCCACCAACTCAGTGTCGCTCCTGACCTCAGCGGGCCCCGGATTTTCCTTTTTGTCTACACCGGTTTTTTGTCAGCGAAACGGGCTCGGCTCTGCGCTGGCGCGTCCCGCCACGTCCCCAGAAGGGGTTCAATCCCTGTTCGGGGGATCCCCTCACACACACAGAGCCATAACGCCACTCTCCCCTCCACCCCACCCGCAGCTAATTCGCCTCAGGGCGGGTGTGCCTCA